TGTTTTTCTTTTTCCTACTTAGGGATAAGGTATGAAGGCTCGTGAGCATATGGAATTCTGGAATATCTCGAAGAAGGCCAGAGTTTCAGTGGCGTTTTTGTTTTGACATGGGGTTTGTCGAATTTCTGTTCTACTTTGTCTTATTTTCCTTCTGCAGAGGACAAGCGATGGCGGGAACAGGCTGACAGAGTGTGCTTGTCCAAACATACCCTTAGACGTGAATGGCCCCCGGCTTTGGCATTTTCATTTCTGCTTCTTACCCCCTTTCAGGATAGATGAGGTCGATGTTGACGTTGGTCTTTGGCAGATGGGAGGCCTATGCCCAGTGATGGGCATGGACTATATGCTTGTCAAGGGTAGGAGCACGTATCAATGTGAGCTGACAGGCAACAGTTGCAGGTGCCCTTGACGACGATCAGGCTGATCGGAGAAAACCCGACCATCATCCTTCTGCTTCTATATTGTCATCTTCGGGATAGCCATCTTGCATGGCTGTGGGTAGAAGATTGTGGAACATGGATTGGAATTTTAATCCGATGCCCTGTCTTCAGGGGGGTTCTTGTTCTCTCCCTCAGACCAGCACCAAGGCACCCTAGGGCGATGACGACGGATCACTCGTAAGCCGACTGGACCGATGGAGCCTTCGGTTGCGATTGCAACTCTGAACATTTCCCTATCTTGTAGACATTTACGACGGGTCCGAAGGGATCCCCGGGGACGCGGCACGCACCTGGGGACCAGTCGCATATCCAGCTGTCTGTCCGTAGATCAATTCCGTCAACTCGTCTGTCAAAGCCGAGCTTGGACGGGATGAGAAGGACCGGGGTCGTGTGAGTTGTCTAGCAGGTGGGCCATCATCAAGATCGGCTCTCGCCTGGCGAGATGAACCGACATGCAGCTTTCTAAGAACTGTAGCTTACCGTGTAGCCATCTCCCGCCATCCTCCACTACTACTACTACTACTACTACTACTACCCCTACGACTAGACCCAGTAGAGTAAGTAGGACATGATGGGAGAGTAGTGTCCAGAGTGGACGCAGATGCAACATGGGAAAGGCAGCAAGCAGCATGCAGGTGTCCCACCTTGCGGCTGTGCGATCGGAGAATTTTCTCTTCGGACAACACACGGACGGTGTCGTTCAGCAGGTCATCGTGAGGGTCGCGAATGAAGGACCAGTGGTTCCTGGAGGACGAGCGTTTGCATGAACTATCTGCTGCAAGGGAGAGCCACTAGTTTGGATCTTCTCTTCCAGTTCCCTTTTCTTTCCACTTTGGTCCTCATGCAGTTCGTTCTCCCGCGTCCGGTCTTCTTTTTCTTACTTTCTTTCTTTCTTTCCCATCTGCCGGTTTTGCTTTTCCTGAAGTTCTTCCTTTCTCCAAATCTTCATGTTCTCTTCTTTTTTTCTTCTCCCCCCACATCACACTAGCTCTGTCTGCGTCTGCATCTACATGTACTGCTAGTCGGGGCATAGGGTGAAAAAGGATGGGATGTGGAGCACAGAAAGCAAACATGCCGTCCCTGAACACGAACCATTCGCTGCGCGGCCCACTTTGTTTGGCTGGAAAGGAGAGGAAGAGAAAGAAAGAAAGAGACAGAGAGAGATTATAGGGGCGGGGGGTGGAAGATGCCAGGGTCACCGGATGGAAAGAAAACCTAAGTACATACATACATACAGAACTTGGTGGTGCTTATTCCGGCCCCGGCGGCTCTCAAATTCTTTGTTTGGCAGCTCGTCTATGCCGTCGATAGTCGTGAACACTATTTCATTCATCGGGAAGTTGGTTAAGAAAGAAATATAACTACTTTTAAACTTTCATTCCCTGTCCCAATTGGTTAGTTACGTTGGTTACTTGCGTGGATAGTAAGTACTACTAAGTAGTGGTAGTGGTAGTGGTAGTAGTGAAGCCCGGAAGACATTGGTTGATCGATTGATCGATTGATTGCTTTTCCATTGATTGATTCCCCGACCTTAGCTTAGCCAGCTAGCCAGCCAGCCAGCTAGTCTAGTAGTTATCTCGCTAGGTATAGTTACCTATCTACCTACCGACCTACCTACCTACCACTGTTATTTCTGGACAGGAAGGGGAGAAGTCGAGAAGGTTCAGTTTTGTGGTGGTGATTTACACCGTTACTTTCGATTTATTGATCAGTGGTGCCTCACTGCCCGACGGTACTAATAAGCAATCTCAGGAATCTCTCCGGGGTGGGCATTTCCCTCGTAATGATCGACCCAAATTGCTGGGATTGACCGGCAAGGGCGTTCATGTTGTCCTACGCGAACTTGTGTCTCGTACAATCTGAGGAAATGTGAAGTTGATCGATGATGGAGGGAAGTGATGATCGCAAGAGCGTTGGTGGAGACTGATGAATATTTCCTTTATTTTATTCTATTTTATTTCTATCATTAGTTTGAGGGGGGGGAGGAAGGGAAATTGGGAGAGGATCCAGAATACCCATTCCAAGCCATGTTCCCGATGTGATGTGTAACCCTTTCTAATTAACTACGGAGTACTATACTACTTAGTATAGATCCCGAAGAAGTTTTTAGTTTAAAGACGGGATGGACACATTGTAGGTAAGTAGATAGAGAAAACAGAATAGATAGATAGATGGATTGATTGATCGTTCAGGTGTGGAATCACTACTACTAACTAAATCTACAAGTCGACTACTTAGTGTAGTTTGAATATGTGCTAAAAGTTGAACTAGTGAGAGAACTAAACTACTCTCGTAGTGTGTTGTTTGGTTTATTCGGCATCAACTTTTTTTTTTTTTTTTTTTTTTTTTTTTTTCTTCTTTTTGACTTGCCAATCCCCACTTCTTTGGCTAATCTTGTCTGTGCATCTGTCACATTTCTTCTTCCATTTGACTCCCTAAATTTGGTCCATGCCTTACGGTTGCCGATGATCCACAGATGATACCTCACATTCCCATCCCTCTTTGCTTCCTCGGGATTGTTCTCGCCAACCGTTAACTGCCTTTCGGGACAAGGACCTCCTTCTCCTGCTACTCCTTCTCTCTCCACACCCCTCCTCCCCTCTTTGCCCCCCAAGGAGGAGGTGGTGAAGTGAAAGAGAGAGTGTGAGAGGGGGTGAGTGTGAGAGTGTGTGAGAGTGAGAGTGAGAGTGAGCTTGAGCTAGGGCCTTCTCTCTTCCCCCCTCCCCTCATCCTCCTCATCCTCTTCCCCCTCCGCCAATCCCAATCACATATCCCTTACTTGTAACGGTTCGCAGGAATAAACTGGTTGGCAACCGCTGAAGATAGGAGTCGGCGACAAGTTTCAACGTCACACGAGACTGGAAGCTGAATGCCGATCCGACAGCCCGCTGGATTGGCTCCCTCTGTTGCTTTCTCACTCTCTCTCCTCTTCACGCCCAGTCCGACAGCAAATCCCAGTGACTCCACTACTACCTACGTACTAAGTAAATCCCAAGAAGAGAATGAACGATTCAATTTGTTGGTCTGACAGGGATCAGCTTGTCCTGACTCAATGCAGCCCCGGTTCCATGCAGCTGGACCAACAGAAAATCCCCAAACTAACTGGCTGGCTATTCAAGTATCTATCTAGTATCTATCCAACTGAACTACCGAGCTAAAGTAGCTAAACGCAACTAAAGCAGCTCCTCTCGAGGCTAGTGACTCGGGCTAACGAAGTGCAGCCTGGACGATCCCAGGAGCATGGATGACGAAAATCCGCGATGCGCGCGGCGGACAGACGCTTGATTGACTGACTGACTATCATCGACTTGACAGGAGGAGGAGCTGCTCAGCCGAGCAAATAGTCGCTCGCTGGCCTTCTTTCTTCTTGTCATTCGACGCCATCATCGGCCTCCTTCCCCCGATCGAGAGCGCCTGGCACGGACTCGATCGTTGCTCTTCTCTAACGTTTCTTTCTTTTTCTGGGTTCTTTTTGGATCCTGCTCGTCATATTTTCCTTTTTAACGAATTATTCTTATTTTTATTTTTATTATTATTTTATTCCTTTCCTTTTTCTTTGTTATCATTATTCTTTTTTTATTTTTGAACTTAATTTTTTTTTTCCCTTTTCATTTTATTTTTATTCTTCTTTTTTTGTGCTTCACAGTATTATCCTGGCCGCTCAGTGCTTCTCTGCTCTGCCTTTCCCTTCCCTTTGCCTTCCATTTCACCCCCCCCCCCCCTTCTCCCTTGGTGTTTCAACCAATAATGACTCCACCAACCTTGCTTTGCCCCCTCCTCTCCCCTTTCACCTGTTCTTGTAGGGCCCTTGAATGCCTACCACCCTTGTCTTGGACCCCGGTTACACTATCTAGATCCAACTCTATCGTTCAAGCTATCGGGAACGAGGAAGGCTCGTCATTTGACGATGCATCAACTCCGCATACGGAGGGGACATCGTTAGCCCGTCAGACCTTACCAGGGTGCTGTGCACACACCCCCCCGACTCCAACAGCAAGGGTCTGACAGCTCCTCGAGATTCCCGTGTGAACCCTTCATAAAATCCTGGTGTCCTCTCTCCCCTCGACCTGCCTTTTTCTTTTCCTGCCGGATACCTTGCTGCTCGCTCCGGCGTTGGCAATTCCAAACCTTGACTACTCTGCTCTTCTGTACATACATGCATGTCTCTCTCATCAATTGCATCATTGCTATTGTTATTCCCGCTTTTACTCTTTCGTCTATCTATATCCCGCCTCTTGAGCTGGTGGACTGGCCGCATTACCTGCATGTCATCATCCATCTGATCATACTCGACTGTCTTCCTCAAAGCGGCCATTAACCTACGCGGGATTCACTTTCAACCGCTCTGACAGGGTCACTTCTTGACTGTCCGTGGTTGCCATTAACATTCAGTATAGACTAGTCGCGGGAGGTTCACCTGCATAAATACCCAGCGGCTGAAGAGCAGCTGCAAGTCCCATGCAGCAGAGCAACGGTTCCCATGACAGCTTAATTGCCCCGAGTCCAATTGTCCCAACTGGTCGGCCGAGTTCCCTGAACACCTCCAGAAGCGCCTACACCATGTCGTCCCTGGCACACGAACCTCGGCAGTCCCGGGATACCCTCCAATCCTCCGAACATCTCGACCTGCGAGATGAGAACGCAACCGATTTCGCCAAGTTTATCGAATCGCAAGGCCCCATCACCGGATCCACGGGAGCCCGGGAGATGCTCAAAGCGGGCCAGAGACGGCTTCGACAACTCGCTCAACGCCCGAAGAAGAGTACTGACCCCAGGTCCAAGGCCGAAGAGTCAGCGCGGCAACTGCTTGCCCTTCAGGAAGGAGGGTTCTTGCCGACGAATGTTCCTGTTCCTGCTGGCGTACCCTCCAAGCGGTCGACCCACAAGAAAAGCCTGGACTCGAGCCGGTCTTCCTCCCGTTCTATTTCCAACCTCAGTTTCATGGCGAACTCTAGACGGGATGTAGAAAGCATTGGACAGCCATGGCTCACGGATCCACTCGAAAAGAAGGACAGACCGGAGGTTAGCACAAATCATTTGTCTGCGCTGGATCTACGGGAGCTGACATCTTTGGTGGAGGCTGCGGTAACCATTCCCCCGCGCTTCGATGACGCGAATCCCCCGCCGTACCAGCCACCCGTACCGGCGAAGGATGTCAAAGCGGATGCACAGCGCGAGAACCAGGACCCTGCGGTTGCTATTACCGTCGCCGACACCACATCCGGATTCAAGGAGAAACAGTCGCTCGGATCCAGCGACGCGGCGAACCCCAGCATCCAAGTCGACAGCAGTGAAGCGCAAGGACTCGACACACGGTCTGAGGATAATGTGCCAAAAGACGGAAAGGCATCAGACAATGACCAGGTAGGTCAATTCCTCGCGCGTCTGGAATATGCAAGTCTAACGTTATATAGTCTGGTCTCAAGACAGATGAAGGCGCAATGTCGCCAGGTTTCGTGATCGACTCAGAGGTTGCCAACAAGCCTGCTACGAGCTCGTCTGGTAGCTCTTCAACACCGACAAGCCAAACCACTCCTTCTTTGAAGCTTTTCCCAGACACAATGCCCCCGCGCAACTCGAGTAAAGGAGCCTGGCGCATCTCCAGTGCTCGCTTGCTCGCTCTCAACAGACCTCTCCCGGCGAGCCCCGATCCAGAGCAAAGTAACATGGATTCGAATAAAGAAAGTTCTCAACCGACCGATAGCACCACAGTCAAAGAAGGCTGCGGTACTCAGGAGGTATCTGAGCCGATATCATCTGCTTCCGCTGATGTTGGAAAATCGGACAAAGAGCCTTTGGCAAATGAAAAGAATGCACAGAAGAAAGGGTCTCGCCGACCTTCGTCCCTGCCAATGTGCACAATTGATGCGTTTCCCTTGCCAGCACCCATGAGACCCCTGCCTTCTCTTCCAGAATCAACTGCAGCGAGTGGTGCTCACAGTCGCAGCGCCTCTAGCAGGTCTGCGCCTCTTGCAAGACTGGTGCTAGATGAGAGAAACCAGGCCTCTAATGCGCATGATGAATCGGCCAAGGCCACACCGGCTATGTCCAACTCTCTTCCCTTAGTACGCGCGGGGCTGAGTCGGGCCGAACGAGTTCATGCATTGAAGATGAGAGATATGTCGGCGAGCCGTCTCTATCTTAAGGAGTCGGAGACACCTCGTGAGGAGGAAGAGGATTATCAGCCCCCGCGGGGTGCAAAGGAACCCGAAGAAGCAATGGATCAGGAGCATGGGGAGGCATACGCTCCTAGGCCTGAGTCTGAAAAGTCGGCGAGTCGCAACATGCGCTATCAGCGAAAAGTTGCCTCGGACCCTCCATCCCCACCGCCACTCTCCCCTCCGCCCTCGAAGCCGTCAAGACACCAGATTAGCCAATCTATTGGCAGGCGTTACTGCAGCACACCTCTTACAGGTAGTGCAGTATTGGCGAGAGATTCTGAGCCGCAGATGCTCCCTGCCTCCAGGGACGCCCCTGTTCGTCGGAGTAGTAGCACTCGAAGCGTGACCTCTTCGCATGAGCGAGCGAGAAAGGAACAAGACCCCGTGGGCCGCTCCGACGTTCCCATTCCATCATCCGACGACGAGTGCACCAGCGCAAGCGCGCGCCAGGATCAAGCCCGTCCAACTTCTAGTCGACGCCGACGGATGAGACCAGCACCCCTCACGATGACTGAGCACCGCTCACACAAGATGCGCGCGACAAGGAGGTCTTCCGACTACTGCCTTTCGCCGGGAAGCCACCGAACCCGTGCCTCCGGACGGGCGTCGCCACAGTCGCATCATACTCAGAGCTCCTATTATTCTCGGGACTCACGAAGCTCCCACCATGACACGATCAGGGCTCTTGAAGGGCGCATCGCGCACCTTGAACGACAGAACAAGATCCTCCAGGCCGCGCTTATGGCCGCGTTGGACGTGGGCAGTGTAGAAAGTCTGCTTGGGGGATCTGCTACCTCTCTATCTACATCGGCGAACACGCCGGCAACCGGACGGTCTTTTTCGTCTACGAACAGCTCCAGCTTGGATGAGTCGATGGTGGACGACCGTCGGCGTAGTCGCAGACGTCAGCCACCCTACCGTCCAACCAGCTGGATAGCGAGCCCGGTCTCTAGCAGACGGGGCAGCTATGATACCGAAGACAGTGAGAATGTGAGGGAATTGGAGGATATGATTGAAGATTTTGATATGGATTGGATGTCTGAAAGGTCGAATCCTTCGAGCTTTCAGATGTCCTGAAGTTGATGTCAAATGGTGTAATGGCGATTGTTGATGTTTTTACCACGCTCTTTGAAATGTCCGATCTTAGGATGAGGATTTATGCGCGTCCCTGGTGGATGGATTTTGTCTCCGATGTCATTCCCTGTTACTTGCAGATATTTCCTATGTTGTTTTGTTGCACGATACCACTTTGTTTTTAGTTGATTTACTTAAATATACTACTATTTCCTACGTCATACATTCGCAACATCGTAGTACAAGAGAACCGCTGCTCGTGCAATCAAAGACTGTGAATGTAATGCACTAAATGGATATTTCATAAAAAATAGGCAGACCTACAAAAGGGGTCTACGGAGTAAGTAGTTTCACAATAAGTGGTGCTCCAGTCAACGACCGCAGCGCAAAGACCACGGACCAGCACCTAAGGCCACGCACTAGCGACTCCGGAGAATTGTTGATCACCACCACCACCAGCGCAACTCCCAACTTCCAGCCAAACCAACATACTCACCAATCAGCCTCTACCAGATATACACACCCACGCAAAAGGATGCGATAATTAATTTCCCCTCCGACCAATATACAAAACACCCACCACACACTCAGCTAAAACCCACCACAGCAGCAACACAATGACACTCCTACCACCACCAACAACAACATCAACAGTACGCTCTTTCCCCTCCCCCTCTCCCCTCACAACCAACCAACCAACCAACAAAACACATAACAACAGCAACAACCATCTAACATTATCACTGAATAGACCCAAATCCCCCAACATGTAACCGCCCTCCTCTCGCACCTCACCTCCCGCCCGGGCGTCCAATCCACCTTCATCCTCTCCCGCAAAGACGGCTCCATAATCCAGAGTACCGGGCTGTATGCCAAACCGCCATCTCCTTCTCCCACGAGTGCAGCTGCAGCTGCGGCGCAGCAATCACCGCGCACCGACACCATCTCCGCACCTGTAGACGGAACCGAGACCGAGACCGAACCGCAGACTGAAAATGAAGCTGGAACTGAGCCCGCGCCCACCGAGACGGATGCCGCTCAACCCCCGACTACGAAACAGCCACAACAACAACAGCAGTCTAAAGAAGGAGGGGCAACGCAACCGTATCAGCCGTCGCAGGGCGAGGCTCTAGCGGCGCATATCTTTGCGTTTGTGGCTAGTGCGTCGGAACTTAGTCTTGCGCTGTCTGGGGCGGAGGATGATGGGGATGGGGATGGGGTTGTTAGACAGGTGGATGGTGGGGTTTCCGGTGAAGGAGGAAGTGGCTCTGGTGCCGGTGCTGGTGGTGCTGGGGAGAAGGAAGAGGGTGATGATGAGGTCAAGTTGTTGAGGTTGAGGACGAAGAGGCATGAGATTGTCGTCGTGCCGGATAGGAAGTTTTTGCTTTGTGTGGTGCATGATGCGCATCATGGGGGTGTTGGGGCGGGTGCGAGTGGGGGTGCGGCTGGGGTGAGGAGGTAATTGGTATTATTCATGGGTTGGTTTGGGGCTGGTTAATGGATGTTGGTTGGTAGGGGGTGGCGGTGGTAGTGATTGATGGATGGATGGATGGATATACCCGGAGTGTTTTTTCGTGTGTCTTAGGGTTAGTGATGGTGATGGTGGTTTACTTCTTTGTGTATGTTGTTGAATGTACTGGTTTAATTTGTGATTCTGTTCATGTAGCGGCATTTCACTGGTTAGGAGAGTCTCGAGATGAGTTGGGATTGATAGGATCGGTCCATACGGGACTGATACGAAAGTGAAGGGCTTACTGGTCGCCACGGCGCGATAGTGACCGACTAAGCAGTATAGCAGTGACGAGTCAGCGATTGCGATGAATATGGTAGCATCAGGACGTGTGAATCCCGCTGCCTGATCAACACGAACTTCACAAAAGCAACACGTACTTCACGTTGACACTTCACACTTCATCCTCACTGTCACTTCCTCTTAAAAGGATATAATAAGCCTCTTCTCTCTCTGCCCTTCTCCTTCCTGACTCTCCCCAGAGCATCATCCAGGCCACTGGCTTCCTATATACACCTACAACATTCATTCTTATATACTATACTTTTCATCTTATACTCAATCACGAAGTCATATCCATCCTGACATTCATCTATCTATAACAACTTCGTCAGAGACACCACACACTGCTCGGCTGCCTCGCAGCTGAATACCGTCTTCGGGCTCTGGCGTACTCGGCACAGAAGCTTCTCAAGCAACTTGCTTGGACACTGTCGACAGTAATAGATCAGTCTGGAATGAATAAACCTTGTCATTCCCCATTCCACATTCTTCTTAATAGCACTTGTCTACTACATCCAGTACGCAGGAGCCTGCAAGAACGTCTTCATCTCTCTCTTCGTGGTACTCTCCCACGAAGAAACCTTTCGTCAGTCTGGGCGCTCGGCATCGCTTAGGCAATTCTTCTGAGCTCAGGGCCAGTGGATATATCCAAAGATAATCTTCAGGTCTGATGATCAGAACTTTCATCTCATGCTCGGACTGAATGAATCAGAAGAGCACATTGCTTCTTTACGATGCTCTAATAATGGTGTCGCAGAAGCTGCTTCGCAGGACACGTTGTATGAAGCATGGAGCACTGAAACGGCGTCTGGACAGTTGGTTATTATTTTTATGTCTTGGTATATGAGGCTTATTTCCTGGCATCCTACAGTCGCTCCTTTGGGGCTGGCGGGATGCAATATACTGGGATGAAAAGATCTGGTATATCTGGAACAGGGTTCCTATAATTTTAGAGCTGGCGCATTGGTGAAGCAGCTCACAAATTAACGGAAAAGGGTACATCTAGAAAGACTCAACAGCTCAGTGGTCGGGCTTTGAGGGAAGATAGCAGACAATAGGCTGTCTGACCCGAGTATAAGGAGGATCCGACTCCAATCAAGGCGCAGTGTCTGCGAGAAAGAATTGCTTTTGGATCCCATGGTCGCAGAAGCCCCAGACTGAACATATACTGCTGGGGTTTGTGTACAAAAAGTCATCGGTGTGGTCGCTGCTCGGCAGCGTGGTCACCGTTCCGAATAAAGGGAACGAGATTTTTTACAGGATGTGTCGATGTCTCTTCAGAACACTCAGCATGAAAGCTTGATAGTTGGGTTAACAAACCAAATGATGCTTGAAACATGCCGTCTTTGCTGGGTGATGATGCCTGTCATCGTACGAAAGAGGATGCAGGACAAAGGTAAGATTTTGTATGACATGCCCTGTTTGTTTATGAAGCTAACATTCTCTTCAGCAGGCTTCTAAACATTTATTTGTTGCTTTATCCATCGAAATCGGAGATACTATAGAAGGCATTGCTGTGGTCAGCATACATCGGGCTTACAAGTTCTATCATGTCGAATTATAAGGTTCTTGTTCAGGACCTTGATTGGAATGATGAAAAGACAGAAATGCACTACAATCGACTTGAGAACACATTGCTCTTTGGCTCCTGCTGCCAGTCGTTCATACAAGAGGCAGAATCCGGCAATTGTCATTATATTGGGCTAATGTGCACGGTAATAACCGGCTTGTGGCAATTTCCGTCTTTCTCAAAAGCAGTCTCCGATGACATTGCTTGTGAGTACGATCGACTGCCATGCCAAAAACATGTCTTTAAAAGTTCTTCTGCGCCACATTGTCATGAGGTTCTGGAATTACACCTAGAAAGGAGGCCCCAGCGACTTTGGCCTGGCCCGTACTGGGCCTTGGACATGACTGTGGCTGGCCATCCTTCGCCTCCATGCCAGAGCCTGGGCTCATATGGCTCGTTCCAAGGCCGAGGGAAACGCTACGTCTGGGGTACGCATTCACTCATGCTGCAGAGTGATCTCGACGAGCGATCGGACTGATGGTCGGCCACTGTTTCCTTTCTATATTTACCCACAGCCTCGGAATGATGAACCTGAATCACTGTTTTACTATTCAATCTTGCCAGCTCCTCTAGACACACTTGAGTCCAGTCAACCGGTCCATTCTGGGCCATAATGGAAGGACTGAGGTCAAAGATGAGGATGGGATTGAAGAACAAGCGAGTCTCTTTTCTCATCTCATTGACGAAGAAATATATGGAGATCTTGTCGAGTGAAGCATCAGAGACTCTGGAACCAGCCGTGCCTCGTCATCCCTTGTTGTCATTATTGCAAATTTACTATGTCTTCTGTCTTCTTCCATGGCCAGCGCTTTGCTAGGCCTAGGTCTTATCGCATGCATAAACATATTTTATCGTTTCAGATCTGCTACGCTGATGATGGCCGCGTTCTGGCTCTACAGTGTCCATTAGCGGAAGAGGATACAGTTGTGAAACACTGGAGTGATCGAAATACTGCGAGCATGATTCTGGCGTTCCATTTGCGCTGGAGATTGTTCAAGCTTTCTGTCATTCTCATTGCATGTTACTCCCAGAAAAAGAACCATCTCCTTCCGGCCTTGCTGGCTGATCCAGAGCACAGAAACCTTCATGACTGTAGTAGAGGAAGATGAGCCTCGTATACAGTGTGGAACTTCTCAAGTCTTAGGGCGGGCACCATTACTCCTGATATGGAAAACACGTCCGACGCGCCAAATCACATCGAGGAGAAAGAAGGATTGACCGCCGAACAATGTCAAGATCATCATAAAGCAAATGAGATAATGGCACTCACTATTATCCAAACGGTTACCACAGATATCATGCATCCGCCTCATGAATACATACATGTGGAAGCAAGAAGTATATCCATCCACCTTGGTAACCATGTCGTTCCAATGGCCTACTGTGGGTGCATGGCGCAATAAGATACCCTCACTTTCCGAGACTTGACCTTCGAGAGGAAGAAAACGTCCAGGGAAGTCCAACAGAATGCATCTGCATGGCAGCTCTCACTACCGAGATATTTTTGTGCAGCTGCCGTCTTTTCTCCCCTCGAGGCTCGTCTTCAGAACAGAAGAAAATGCAGCTTGGACGTGGATGTGTGGCATCGGTATATACTAGCCATAGGGTTGACTATACGGTATGCCCAATGGATCTCAACATGAGCGTGCAACAACATTTCAATGGCTTATACATACAAAAGTAATCAGCAGGAGATTTATGCCTGTTGGAGCCTGTTCATTCTCGTCGGCTGTTACTGGAAAATCGAACCACGGTCGCGGCGAATGTGGACTACTTGAGGCCTACCATGCTT